TAATCATACAATATTAAATATATAAGGATACAACTGTTTGATTCGAGACAGTAGAATTATAATTATGATGGACAAATTAATTAATTAATTAATTAAAATAGATAGATAGATAATTAATTAAAGTGGATTTTGAGAAAGTGATGAAGTGACACTGAGAAAGCTGGGAACATCACCACACGCACTTATGAATTAAATTAATAGCTTATTATATAAATAAATTAGTGGGGCCTAGCATTTTGCATATGAAGGTACCTAACTGCCAACTAAGCACAATATCACACTTTATATCCCTAAAAAAAAAAAAAAAAAAGTAGAAGATGCTTGGTTGAAATAGGTTATGGACCCACTTAATCATACAATATTAAATATATAAGGATAACACTTGTTGATTCGAGACAGCTAGAATTATAATTATGATGGACAAATTAATTAATTTAATTAATTAAAATAGATAGATAGATAGATTAATCTAAAGTGGGATTATATGTAGAATTAGTATGATGTAAAGTGACAACTGAGAAAGCTGGGAAAACATCACCCACACGCACTTTTATGAATTAGAAATTAATAGCCTTAGTTTATATGAAATAAATTAGTGGGCTAGGCATTTTGCATATAAGTACCATGAACTGCCAACTAAGAGCAGATATCACACTTTATATTGCCGCTAAAAAAAAAAAAAAAAAAAAAAAAAAAAAAAAAGAAGTTACTCACTGGCGTTGGATGCTTGCTTCTATGCAAGTACACGTGGGATTCTTAGGCCACTGATCTTAACTTTTTTAACCTTTTCATGTATTTTTTTTTTTTACTTTTTTATGATATAAATTGAAGCGCTAGCACGTTGCTGTAATTTTATTTTTCAGATTTAGAAAATTATAAAAATATTAATAAATGAATTTTATCTTAGTACTAACACTGCCATTTACAAGAACTATAGATTAATGAATTATCAAATTTTAGTAAAATTTCAGCTGCCATTTTGACTTGATAACTAGGTCAAAATCTTCTGATAAGTTAGTGATATTAATAATAATATTAAAATGATGCAGTAGTAAAATACATAAATTTCACTTTTTTATTTTTTTTAAAAAATTTATGGCATCTCAAATTTTGTTATGCTTGGAATAAACGAATTTCACGGTTTTGTGAAATTCATTTATAAATGCAGATTTTTGTATTTGGTATGAAAAAACAATGAAGAGTTCAATTATACGGATTTCGATTTAACTAACCAAATTCTAAAAGAAAAAAAATATATGAACTTTCCGAATGAATTCTACAAATTTAAACAATTCAAAACTTTATGATAAAATTCAATATCCTTTAAATATTCTAAAATTATTATGCCAAGAATATTTTAGAAATAAAAAAAAGGATATTCAATTTTTAAATTTATTCTAAACATGAAGAGATTTATTTAAAAATGAATTCTATCTAGAATTAGTTTATAAATGAAGCACAAATTTTGAGTTAATTTATAGCATATTGAGCGTTAAAAGTTACGAATTTTTATAATATTTATATTTCTTATATCAACAACAATAATTTTTAGGATTTTTAATTTTTAAATGTACGTGGTTAATATAACTTTTTACAATAAAAACTTTCACATTTTCAATTATCCATTAAGTATTTAATCTAGCTAATTTTATAAATTATTATTAAATAGAATGATTTTGCAAGTTAAATTATTTAATAAATGTAATTTTTTAAAGTGATGTCATCGATAGATCAAAGAAAAATTATGAGCGATATAAAAAATTTTCATAAAAAAAAACAGGTGAATTTATACGTTTAACCTTAAAATAATTTTGTATTATATCATTAGTAAAACAAAACCAATTGGCTATTAAAATTTAATGATGCTAACCTCATTAAAATAAAGTTTCTAACTTTATGTTTTCGTGCAAGGAAGAACACAAGGTACGAATTCCTATTTAAGAAACATTACTTGTCATACACATGGATTATGACTCATTTAGCAACGTAGGATTAGGCGATCTTCAATAATGAGATCCGGATACGAGTGGTTTAAAAAAAAAAAAAAAAAAACGCTCTGACTCATTTAGCAACGTGGGATTAGAGCGAATCTTCAATATGGAAGAATCACGGAATATCGATGTTGGTTTTAAGAAAAAAATAAAAAATTAAAACTTTTGATCATAAAGGGAATTTAATGGTTTAAAAAAAAAAAAAAAAAAACTTGTCATAAAAGGGAAAATACATTATCCAAAAGACAGAATTTTCTTTGTTGATGTTAGGTTTGAAGTATATACTCTATACTATAAAATAACATGTACAGCTCACCTAACGGTACACCCTACCATGTAACCAAATTAAACCTATTTATTTTCGTTTTCTTGTAGTTGACCCAATTTTTGGTTTATGCTTATATGGTTCACCTATTTTTCTTTTTACCCTATAATTCATTAGTTACTTTCGCGGTATTTCTTTTAGCCAAACACAAATTTTTTTTCATCTTCTTGTTTAGAAATAATTTTAATAGAAAAGATTAAGCTTCCGGGTAAAAATTATTTTTTTTTTTCAAATAGAGCTAAAAAAAAAAGATATCTACAATATTATCTCGAGGCTTATTCTTTTAAAAATTTACGAAAATCGCGCAAGAGTTTAAAATACGAAACGTTAATGGAGGAACTATATCATTCCTTTTAATACTTATAATACATTTTTCTAATTATTTTTCAACAAATAAACTAAATGACTCGAATTTAATCAATTCTCTAGCCCGTTTCTTAGTTAAAATCTGGTCTGCCCTTCCTATATTCTCGATTTTATCGATTGAATCAATCTATTAACGTTATTTATAAAGTCCAATTTAAAATCAAAGCACAAATATCCTTGTGCTTAATTCGAAGAAGAAAAAGAAGAGATTGAAATACTAACAAGCAAGTTGATAATTAGATGACCAAAATATAGAGTAAAAACCAAGAAAAGCAGTGTCTTGCCTTCAAAGTTCATATTTGAAAATAAATATAGTTGATTGTGATTTCTAAGTGCCTGTTTTCACAGAGTTAATTAGGGCTAGAGACAATCAGACAGCAGTAAGAGCTTTCCTTGTATAATCATTGAATTGTGATTCCTACAATTTTGTCTTTGTTTGTTGGATAAGTTTATAGTACACAAGAAACTTTACAAACCTTGTTTAATTAGATGTATACTGCTATAAAATGTCACGTCTGAACAACCAAATGATCCAGCAAAATAAAGAGTTTGATGTTCAATTATACACAGAACTCAAAAGAAATTGATGATACTCTTTTAAATCACATCACAAGCAATCATCCACGTTTGACAATGACAGTTAAAGTTGATACTAACACAAAGCATTACTATTCAGAACTTATGCTGGGAGAAAAGTGCAAAATTACCTACCGAATTGAAAATCGAACCGGCAATTTTCAATTCGGTTCAATTAATTATCAAGAAAAGTTTAGTTTATTGGTTTATTCAACTTGAATTGAATTTATCATTTTGTTTGAATCGGTTCAATAGAGATTCACCAATTAGATTTAAAATTGAACGGACATAGTAAAAACTAACTAAAACAAGCCAAATTGACTGGTTCGATTCAAATAGCTTCATTCATGCCAATTTCAAGTTGATTCGATTTGGTTCTTCGTCAAAGAATTTAAATTTACAATTTTTACTCTTGGTTTAGTTTGTTTGAATGAAATGGACAGCTTACTCTTGTATGCTAGTACATCAAGAAAATTTTGGGATGTCTGCACAACAATTTTCTTTTATATATATAGGAAATTGTGTAAGTCGTGGACAGCTACTGGTGCGGTGGTGGAGGACCATTGATCAATGGTGATCAAGATCAACATTAATTAGCAGAGATTGATTATGGTAATTCCTGATAATCATTTAATTAATTAAATTTATGTTTATAAAATTATAGTGTTTTTTAAATATATAAAAGTATAATTTGTTAATATTCAAAAACGATTATTAAAATAATTTAATTTTTCACTAATTGATTTTTTTAAGTATCCAAAAACATCCAGAAAATTTTCCCAAATAATTTATTTTTCATAATGAAGAGAAATTTCATAATTTTCATTCATAATAATAATCTACAAAAGAACATTATGTCACTGAAAGCTGGCCAAGCAATCGTAAGATGGATGTGATGAGGTGCAGTTGGTGATGGTCATCAAACTTTTTCCATGTGCTATGAGAAACAATAGAAAAAGAAATTGTCCTGGAACCAAAAATAAAAATAGAGTTAAATTTTAAATTTTAGAAAGCAAATATGTATACTTTCAAAAATATAAATAAAATTTAAGAGAGAGATGTTAAAATTTTTAAAAGTTGAGAGGATTTAGCTTCCAATACATGAGTAGTTCTGCCCATGTTCCAATTTGCTGCTAAATGTTCGAACTGTAAAGCCTAACTATGTGAAAAGAACTGTCTAATATGATAATATCTGGAATTGGTATCTTTTAGCTTGAAAGAAATAATTGAATTGCATGTTCTAAAAGGTTTTTCTCCTATGCAAGGTACTTTATATTTTTATTGCCAAAAACAATGATAACCACAAAATAATTGGTCCCCAATACTGCAGCTTTTTACATAGAGAAAAAGCAGGACATAAACACAAGCAAACCTGGAGGAGATGATATATATCTATATATATATATAGAGAGAGAATTATAGATGCTTTGGTTTTGGTCTGGGGGAATTTTTGTTGACAAAGACAAGATACTGAAAGTTTTTTGCTGCCAATTTGTTGCAGGAACCATATATTGTCGGCCATTTAAGAGAGCTCATCAAACAAATAATTAGGTGAATTTCATATCTTATTCTGATATGAGTTGGTCAAGATTACGTACTTCTGTAGTAGTGTATTTCTGACATGATCATTATGGGAAAAAGAAAGGTGCAAAATTAAATGATATTATGAATATTAATACACAGTCAAGAAGCTCATTAGAACAAATTAAATATAAACATCATATGGAAAAGCTTAAACCAAGTTTGAATAACCTTGCAGTTTCCCGACAATTTGATTATAATTGGTTTAAAATGAGTTATAACATCTTAAGTTCTTTTTCCATTTCATTCAGGTATTTTTAGGCTACACAGTTTTGAATACAATTTTCTACAGTGGAGAAAAGTTTGGCAGACTTGTAGAATAACAAAAATGTCATATCGCTGTGAAAACCCAGGCTGAACGCCTGTGCCTGTCTGATAGAGCTCTTGATAGCACTTTCTTTGTTCTCAATAATAAACTTGCCTTCCAACAGAATATATTCCATTGAAGTACATTTCAATTTTCCATAAAGCCAACGCCCATAGATTTCCACAAAATTTTGGTTGTGATCCACACCGCGCCAAAATTCAGCTGCATAAGGGAATCTTCTTTAGGCCTTCTTATACTCTTAGTTTTAATAACTATCTCACTGTCTCGTGCCAAATGCATAAAAATTTGGAATTTCAATTCCCCTCATCATTGCCAGCAGACAATTTGTTACTAGACGTTGTGCAGTCTGGTTCTGCTTACTTTCTCCTCTAGTTTCTCATTCTGGGGAGAGAGTTCCTATACCTTGATCGTGGAATGCATTTGCGATAGGCAGAGATCATTTGTATTATGTTTGGGTGATTCTTTGCTTAAAATCATATCAAACACCCGATTGGCTTGGTTATCGTATCCACATTTAAGATACATATCCACCAAAGCTTTTGCAATTGGAATTCGGGACCAGAGGCCGTGCCTTATGATATAGCCATGAATGGCTCTTCCATACTGCAATGACGCCACATCTCTGCAAGCGGAGATTGTGCTAATGATGCTTTCAGTATTTGGTCTTATCCTATATTCTTGCATTCTCTGGAATATCTGAAGTGCCTCATTGCCCAAACCATTATGAAGAAGACCAGATATAAGAGTAGTCATAGTAACAAGGTTAGGATGGACACCAACAGCCTGCATCTCTGTGAACATATCTTTTGCGTTGTTGACCTTACCATTTCTTAGAAATCCCAAAATAACTGAATTCCAAGAGGTCACATTTGGTGGCACACTCTCCAACTGCATTTTATAGAAAAGCTTCAAGGTCTCACCAACTAGACCAAGTTCAGCATAAGCAGTCAATAGTGTATTCCACATGGTAAGATCTTTATTTATCGTGTAATTGAAAACTACTCTTGCATTCCTAGTTCTCCCACATTTTATATACATATTTATAATGCTATTTGCAACTACTACATCAGATTCAAGACTGTTTCTGATACAATAACTGTGCCCTTCTTTGCCAAGTTCTATATTTTTCATATTAGCACACGCAGATAATATGGAGGCTAGAGTCACCGAGTCAAATTTCATATTCTCGGATCTCATTAGACGACATGTATCAAGTGCTTTTTCAACTTGCTGACATTGCACGTAACTAGAAATAAGCAAATTCCATGTCACCACATCTTTTTCAAGCATTCTACTGAAAACTAACTCAGCATCCTCAATCAATCCAATCTTAGAATAGAAATTCAAAATTGAACTACCTAAGATATTATCCAACTCACATCCACCTTTGATAGCAAAAGCATGACCCTGCATTCCCTCTGCAACTGCACCTAAATTAGCTGAAGCAGAAAGGAAGCCAGATAAAGTAACTCTGCTATGCTCAACATCTTCCAACCTCATATCATAAAACATCTCAATTGCTTCTTGATGAAACCCATTTTGAACATATCCCATAATCAACGAATTCCATGTAACCACATTCTTCTGGGGCATATTATCAAACATTTTCCTTGCATCTTTTAAAATCCCACATTTTCCATACATATCCACCAGACTACTAGAAACAAAAACACACCCATCTAAACCCGTCTTCACTGCATAACAATGAACTCCTTTTCCAAACCTAATCCACTGCAGAGCACCGCAAGCCTTTAGCACGTTAGGCAATACAAAATTATCAGCCAAAAGGCCACTATCTATCATTTCACATAAACCTATTAAAGCATCTTCATGAAAACCCAATCTACAATGTAAACCAGTAATGGAAGCCCAAGAAAACTCGTTCTTCACTCTCAATCTGACAAACAAACTATTTGCAATCTCTAAACTACCGCACTTCGCATAAAAAATTAACAATTTTGTCTCTATATACTCGTTTCTGGAAAATAAATCACCATTTTTTATAATTCGAGCGTGAATTTGCTGGCCGGTTAAGAAATCTCGCTCGTATACACATCCTTGTAGTAGCTCGCCATAAATATCAGCTCCAATTACGACATTTCTGAGCTCCATATATTTAAGTAGGTTCAAAGCATGTTGAATTTGCCCTTGTTTGCATAGAGAAGAAATGTTGCGGAGATAAGATTTGTATGGAAATCGACGGTGATTGGGTTCTAACTGAAGTTTTGTGAAATGGGTTTGATTTATTCTGTGAGATTTTGTGGGTTTGGAGTGAGAGAAATTTGAGTTTGGTGCATTGTTGAAAGGAAGAGAAGCCATGTATAGAGAAACGGTCAGGAAGAAAGAAGATATGGTAATGGAGCGTGCAGTATCATCTGCGGCTGCACAAAAAAGCTGGGTTTCTGTCATCCAATTTTAACTGAATTTTATCCTTTTTGGCGGTACAGTAACCGTCTAACTGATATATCATGAAGCGACGTCGGTTTAGGAACCAAACTCGAACTTAATAACGTATCGGGCGAGACGTCATTTTTAGGGCCCAAATCGGAGTAGCAGGTGCTTTTGATGGGCTCCTTTTCAGGTCCATCTCATAACTGGCCCAAATCAGACTCCATCAGTCTCCCTCTCCCCTTCGCTGGGATGACAATAACAAATCTATAACGTAACTCCTTTGCGGAAAAAACCAGATGCAAAATTGAAGCTTTTGAATTGGAACTTGAAAGAGAACAAACAGTTACAGCTCCATATTTGTGACCCACTGACCTTGCAGGTGAAATTGGCCATTTGGTTTTCGGTTTGATGGATTAGTCAGGACTTTAAGCAAGCTGAGACATTGGTTGCTGATTTTTGTGGAAAAGAGCATTGGAGCAGAAGAATTTAGCTGCTCACGTTTGTTCTTTGGGCCTGGACAGTTGAACCGAAAACCTGGGAGGATTTTTATAAAAGAGGGCCCAAGCTGAAAGATAGCTCAAAAATGCGTTTTTGGCGGGAGTCGAACCCGGGTCTATTGCTTGGAAGGCAATTATCCTAACCGTTGGACTACAAACGCTTCATGCATAGTGGTGCCAACAGTTGGCATATAATGATAGAACATCTTTTCTGCAAACGGCTCCACTTTGATTGTTTTATTATTATCTATATATATAAAAAGGAAAATTACAATACGATTTTTTTTTGTTTGAAAAAAACAATTAGTCCGTCCTTATCTTTAGAAAATAGACTAAAATGTCTTTATAGTTTACTTTTATCAGATTATGAAGTCCTTTTGTTTAATTTTTACATCTTTTCTGTTAAATACCTTATAAAATGACGAAAATATTCCTTTTATTTTTAAAAACACAAGAACGGATTAGTGTGTATTTTTCAAACCATAGGGACTACACTATAATTTTTTCGATATAATATTTTAGCTCTCTCCTTTGATCTCTATATTTTCTTGTTGATTTAATAGAAAAGATGTAAAAATTGGACATAATGACTTAATAATGTAGCGGAAGTAAAATATAGAGATAAATTAGTATATTTTAAAAAAAAACATGGATGAACCAGTTGTATTTCACAAACTACCGGGATCGTATTTTAAGTTATCGTATATAAAATATTAAAGACACATGCTTCGTGTAAAGCATTTGTAGTCCAATGTATGGGATAATTGCCTTCCAAGCAATAGACTTGGGTTTGATTCTTGGCAAGCGCAATTGAAATATTTTGGTTTTGGTTCGCTCATCTCATGTAATAGCACCAATTCATATAATCGTTATTTGTTTTTTTAAAGTGTCTTAAATTTTTTAACCTCCTTATTATTTATTAAAGTTGCATTGGTAAAATCTAGGTTTGTTAGGTTTTACATGTATTCGCAACTAAATTATATCTAAGTGTTAATTAATATGTATATCCCCTTGAGATTTACACAATTAGCATATTTTTAATGTGCTAATTGTCCCGTAATGTTTTGAGTTTTGACATTAGCATATATAATTTCTTTCTGGGTTAAATTAATAACCCAACACTTCATTTGTTGTTTATAAAATAATATATTGCCTTTTACACTTTGAAAATCTAAGATCTTAAAGATATTGTTTATACATTTTAGTCCACTAGTTACGATATAAACTAAAATTAGTTTAAGAATTCTTATTTTAAAATAATAATAATAATAATAATATATAAAACACTAATTATAATAACAAATATAAAAATATATAATTCATGATAAACTAAAAATTAATCCATTTTTCTTATGTAATTTCATTTCTCTTTTGTCCTTTCCACTTGCACGCTAATTAATTCGCTGATTGAGTTAATATGTCTCACACACGCGCGCACATATATATATATAATTAATTAATTAATTAATTAAGAAAGCCAAATTATATAGGTAAGTAGAATTATATAGGAAAAAATAAAAGGGATTTGCTAGCTTAGATATAGAGGGAATTGGGGAATTAATTAGCTTAGGTGGAGAATATGTTTGATGTATAATATACATATAGTAGTGTACTTTTGTCTTGAAATTATATTAAGTCAACAATTTTATGGACCTAAAAACAATTATTTTTCATGAAAATTCCTATCTTCATTGACACTCTTATTTTTTGTTCACCTTTTTGTTTTCCTTCTTAGTTAAGAGGCCGACCCAAAGTGATTCTAATTCCATTCTCCACTCTCATCTTTAGATGCTACACACACCAATTCTTATCTTTGGTCAATCTCATTTAACCCATTTTAATTAAAATTTTTAATTTCTATATATATATATATTATATATATCAAAGAAATTAAAAAAAAAAAGAAGAAAACTTTCTTTGCAAAGCCTAGTTTGTGTATCTTGCCAAAGGGAAAACTATGGGATCCTTTTTGTTTCTAGGGTTTCAATATCATTTATGCATGTTTTGAAGAAAAGGGAGAGACATGGTCATATATTCAAAGATGTCCAAATTGCAATATATATATATATATATTATATATAGAAGATAATGGGATAATTACTTTTAATTTTATTTTAAAGAAGATGCTCTTGCTTATGGATTTAGTTAGGTTTTTGGTACCTTCTCTTGCTTAAAAAAGAAAAAGATGAAGAAAAGTTAATACCTCTTATAGTTATTTCATTTTTATTTCTCTTGCACTTTAACATGATTCAAGCTATGATTTTCTATTTTCTTCAATTATTTTTTAAAATTTGCATATCTTGCCTCAATAATACATTTAGCTAAAAATTTTTGTAAAAAGAAGAAAAGAGGAAAGCATGTATAAACTTTTCCATTAAGATAAGCATGAAATTAGCATCCAAATACTAACAGCTAGCTTGCAATAATCAACAGGAAAAATAATGTTCGGATGCTTCCAAACGACGAATCTATATCTTAAATGAGTTAAGCAAAAGAAGAATTTATCAGAACAATTAAGTTTTGATGAACAAATATCCAGTTAATGATTCTTGAAAGACAGAAAACCTTATTACACCCGTAAATGTATCCATCATTAGCTTTCTATAAAGCTTAAGAATATTTCATATTAATAGAAGATCATTCTTTTTCTTTTCTTCATTTGCTCTTCTTTCTTCGTACTTTTGAACAAGAATTTCGAATTTTGAATTCTTCATCAGTAATTGAAGGGATTATTGGCAAATTATTGGATTCAAAAGAATAGAATCTTCTTCTTTTTTTTTTTATTTTGCATTAATTATATTTTTTTTTATTGAATATTATTCCAAGTATCTAAAACCTTTCATAAAGCTAATGTTACTATCCATTAATTATCTTTTCCTATATCCTTATGGTTCTATTTTATTATATTTTATATGCATAACGTTTTAATGAAGCACTCACACAGATGAAATTTTAAATTCAAGAAAGAATAAATTTTCTCATGTAGCCGATATATAGTTAGCATCTCCTAAAATGAATAGCACCGGCTAATGAAATTATGCCACACACAACCAATAAAATATAAATATTTTAATATTCATATGAATCATCATATAATTAGTAAAAAAAAAAACTAAGTAGTTACGTGAATTTTATCTGTAAAGTTGAGAATTTAAAATCTAAATTAACTACCATTGAAGGCATTTTAATTTAATTAGTTTCATCTATATAAATAGATGGAAACACCGCATTGGAAAAAAAAAAAAAAGCATAATTAGAAATAATAAAAAAAAAAAAAGAAAAAGAAAACATGTGTGGGTCTAATTTGGGCCTTTGAGGAAGTTTGAAGAAGGTTTGTGGTCCATAGTTGGGCTTTTATAATAAAAGGAAGTGTGCAGGAGGTGTAAAAAGTTTAAGATAGGCTGTTTCCTGTAGGGATGCTTTTGTATTTTTGCCTCGTTTCATAACCAGAATCCAAAGACAGTACAAGATGCAGTGGTCCTTCATTTTTTTTTATATACTACTATTTATATAATAGTATTAATAAAATATCTTTAGAAGATTAAGAAAAAGAAAATTCAATGAGAAAAAAGTTTTGTTCTTTATGATGTTTCATGTGTCTGAAAAGGTATTAGATTGCACCAATTGTCACTCCTAGAAAAATGTTACTTATTTGAAAAGTTATTATATATTTCTTATTTTCTAATTAGTTGTTTTTTGAAAATCAGTTATTTAGCTTTGTCTAAAAATAGGAATATTAACATTTATTGTATTTTTCAGTTTCAATTGAGTTTTTTTCAAGTTAGAACTCTGTCCTGTTTATCTTGATCGTTTGTTTTACGATTTTCATTCTCTATTTGTGGATTTGTTGTTTAGTCGATGTGAGTTTCTTAACATGAATTTTACAGAAAATTTACTAAAGGAAATTTATTAATTAGAAAATTTATTTATTTGGAAGATTATATAGTTTCTTATTCAATAAGACTTGTATTTCCTAATTAATTAATTCACGAGGTTATTATAATTATTCAGTTTTAACTGAGTTTTCTTCAAGTTAATAAAAGTTTAGAATTATCTCTATATTTATTCTCTTCCTTTTAATGCATTTCTATATATTTTTTAGTATAAATTGTATCATTGGATTTCTATATGTTGTGTATGGGGGCAATTAATTAATTTCCTTGTCTTTGCATACATACGTAGACAAAAAAAAAAAAAAGAAGTCATCCACACCATTGCATTTCCAGGACATCTTCCCATGTGAGTCTTTCTTTGAAAGCATGCAAAAAAAAAAAAAAAAAAAAAAAAAATGTGAAGTCTTTCTTTGAAAGCATGCAAAAAAAAAAAAAAAAAAAAAAAAAAAAAGTGTTAAATGCCTCGCGTTGCCATAGGCCCACAACTTATTAATTTCTAAATAATTTATTTAATTCATATTTTTTCTTTAAAAGAAGAAGAATAATTTCATTTCAATCATAGAAAAAAAACTAAATAGTTTGAAATAAATGAACAACCATATAAATTTTCACTTTACCTATTTAACCGATTTACAATTCTTAATAATAATAATAATAACAGTATTTCTAACTTTGTCTTAAATATTTTACAAATTTAATAAAAAATGTTACTAATATTATGCTGTGCAATGAAAAATAAGATTTTATTAATAACAATTAAGAGAAACGGTAGGAAATATTCCAAAACACTGGATAAAATCAATATTATATTATTTTATTTTCCAAAAAAAAAAAAATGTTTTATATATTTATTTTCATAGTCGCCGCCTCGTTGTCGATTTTTCACAGTTATCTACGAGAAAAACGATGAATTAAAAAAAAAAAAAAAAAAAAAAAAGATTAGGAGAGAGATAGAAGAAGGAATATTCGGATCCATATTTTAAAGACCGCAGACAAAAGGGATACTTCCAGAAGGACGAATATGAAGGAATATAAGGACGCGTGTCACGAGGAGAATCTTTGCTTTCTTTCTTTCTCTTACATGGAAATGGAAAGGAAGGAGAAAAGAAAACTTGTCATTGCAATTAACCATAAACAGAGAAGAGAGAGAGAGAGGTTGTAAAAAAAAAAAAAAAAAAGAAAGAAAGAGAGAAGAGAGAATCTATCTAATACAAAAGGCGTGGGTTGGAGTCTTGGTAGTAGAAGACTGAAAAAAAAAAAAAAAAAAAAAAGAAAGAAAGAGAGAAGAGAGAATCTATCTATACAAAAGGCGTGGGTTGGAGTCTTGTAGTAGAAGACTGAAATAGAAAGCGACCAACCATCATTATTGCTATGCCAAGGGAATTCGATGCAGAGGAAGGGAAGGAAGGAAGGAGACGACTTTAACCTTTATCTTTCATCAGAAAGGCATTTCTTATTACTGCTCTGCTCCCTCTCCAAATGGGTCGGACTTTCACCATCTTATTTATCTGTCAAAATGAAATGGAGATGGGATAGAGATAAAGAGCGGTACTTTTTATTTAAAAACCTTAATACTGAATTATCCCAATATATTCTGACCCGGATCCGAGAAGTGTTAAAGAAGACCAGAAATAAAAAATATAAAATGAATGGAATCCTCTTACCTTCCTACCCACTTCATTAAATTTAGTAGCAGGAGAAGATTCCCAGCTCTTAAGAGGCTCCTTTAATATTCTTTTTTTGAGGTGAATTTTGGCTTTTAAATTCCCTTAATTTAGAGTCGTAGAATTGGAATTAAGATATTCCTTCCTTAGAGGCAAATATTATATTCTTTATCATCAATTTTTACGTTTGGATTAAATATTCTCCCTCTCCTCTCTCTCACACACACACAACTTTTCAAACCTAAAAGAAAGTTGCATGCTGGATTGATATTGAATACCATTTGAATATATATCTCCTCACTCCCTCTCTATCTTTCCTATTTTCTATATATATAATATATTGCGGTAATTAATTTTTTTTTCTTTAAATATATATGTATATATGATGTAGTTCCGTAATTAAGGGTGTGTGAAACCACCTACCAGACAAAAAAAATTGATCTAAATTTTTACTATCGTTTCGGTTTCATGTCTGAAAATTTTAATTTTATATTTTTCTATCTTAATTAAATCAAACTGATCGTTCGCTCATCCCTATTTATAATAAATTTTTAATTATTTTACTATTCTTTAATTTAATTTTAAAATAATATATTGTATATAACTTAAAAAATATTATAGATCATATAACAGAATAATTCTCTTTATAACTCACCAAAATTGCTGAATTTAGTGGTGGAGGACTCGTAATGCACAAAATTTATACCAAGGCATCAATTTATTATTAATTAATTAATAATTATGGTAGAATATAGTTATTAATAATTTGTTATATGATTATTAGTTATTACTATTGTAGAATTTAGGTAGATAAAATACTTTAGGTAAGGACTCCTTAAGTACTACTTCCCGTACACGTGGCCAACATATCTGCCACTTGTTGGTATATTAAATGCTTCTTATGACATGATCAAATTGATCCTCGCCATAGAATCCACCTCTTTCTTTTTCTTTTTTTTGTTTTATTCTTTTTACTTTCTTGAGCATTTATACGCCTGTATAGACAGAGCATTACGCCCAAAGTTAATGAATTTTACCTTTCTTTTGTTTTTCAATTTTTTTTTTAAACAAAGGGTGTCTGAAATTTAGCTCTTAATTTCTTAATTATAATTCAAAAAATAGATACTTCATTATCAACTTACTAGCTAATGACAAAAATAACCAAAATGCATAATATAGGGTGAAATTAAAAATTGATCATAAATTAATACACGATAATATATTATCTTAATCTGTAAAATATGAGAAAATACTTATATTTAGTTTAAAAGCTCTTAAAAAATAGAGAAATTATTAAAGCATACATTAGTTTCGTTAAATTTAATAGTTTTTTTTATAAGAATTGAAAAAAATGATTGAATCGCCTCAATTTCAGAAAAACGTAAAGGTAATTGACTGAACTACCCTTGAAATAGTGCACATTTAATTAAAACAAAGTTTAATATAAATAACTAGACTAGGGTAAAGTTGGAATAAAATAATTAATGTGTCATGTAAATGAAATAAACAGAATCAAAAATTGTCAAATTTAACGGAATGAAGAGAGTAATATTTATATATTTAGGTTAATTAAACCAAGTGAATGATGAGACTTTATAAGGGAATTAAAGTTTGAGAAATTACACACACGGGTTGTGGCTCAATTGGTAATGTAGACTGTACATGTGAAAAGAGCTGTCGAATTCGATCCCCACTAAATACACTCCCAGGAAGGGGTGAAAAGCTGGATTAGGCGTCCCAGTAGTACAGTCAAGATACATAATGAAAGTTTGAGAAATTACATAAAATTACATATCATTAATAAGGTTTGATTTAAAAATAGGAGAAGAATCATATGGGTTGTAGGCTCATAAAGTCAAAAAGAAAAAGAAATAATAATAGTAATAATAATAAATTCAAGAATTACAAAAGAAAGAGAGAAATTAAAAGGAGGGAAAAGGAATAATAATAGTAAGAAGAAGAAGAATCATCTTTTTAATAATAGATTAGATGATTTTGAATTGGTACAAAGACACACACTTACACTCCTATTCTTATAGCAAAGGTTCAAAAACCAGGCTCTAAGCACATGATCCATCTTAGTGTCAGAGACTCTCTTTTTTTTTTTTGGCTTTGTTCTTTGCAAGAAGTTACCATCCCTCTTTTTCTTCCCTCCCTAGCTTTTCCTTTTTCCTCTCTTTCTCTCTCTAAAACCCCTACTTTATTCCCTCTTCAACTCACCTCTTAAAAGAAGTCGATCCTCCCTCGATCCTCCTTGTGTTCAGAAACATCTTCTCTCTCTCTCTCTCTCTCTCTCTCTCTCTCTAACCCACTTGAAAAACTTAAACCTAGAAAGAAAGAAAGAAAAGCAAGGCAGACGCAAACCCTCTTTTGCTATTCTTTGTTCCTACATATCTTATTCTTGTTTTTTCTTTTATAACATGAACGTTGAGGGCAAGATTGTGTTTGTTGAGTAGGAGAGGTTTGGTAGTTTCTTTTCTTGATTCTTGATCATTTGCTTGAAAAAGAGAGAGGAAAATGGCCTCTCCTTCAGAGCTAAGCTTGGATTGCAAACCTCATAGCTATTCTATGCTATTGAAATCTTTTGGAGAACAGAATTATGACCAAACACAAAAGCTTGAAGAATTTCTCTCTCGCCTTGAAGAAGAAAGATTAAAGATCGACGCATTCAAGCGTGAGCTTCCCCTTTGCATGCAACTTCTAACTAACGGTATAATAATTTCTTGATTCTTTCTTTCTCATAAAATTTTGAATTCATGAATAGTTAATTTCTTGATATATATATATATAACTAACGGTATAATAATTTCTTGATTCTTTTCTTTCTCCAATAAATTTTGAATTCATGAATAGTTAATTTTTGATATATATTATATATATATATATATATATATATAATATATATATATAAATATATCTATACTTAGATTTTTTTTATAAAGCATTCTAAAATAATGAAAAAATGTTAACCAATGCAGATGCTGCATATATATCTATACATATAATTTTTTTTATAAAGCATTCTAAATAATGAAAATGTTACCAATGCAGATGCTCACAATATTTTTGTGTTTGATGACAATTTTTTCAGAAAAAAAACTATTATTATTGTAAATAATAACAGTGGATATTCATGTGATATCTTCCTAAATCCTAATAACCTTTTTCTTTATCCTTTTTCATTTATAGAAGTTTGAGTTAGCTTTCTATCCGTGTGGCTTTATTTGTTAAGTTCTTTTCTTTGATTTAAAGTAGCTATGATTATTCATACATCTCTTCTAAAAAGAATTCAAGTCTTTTTTATTTTTTTCTCAGCTGTGGAGACTTCAAGACAGCAATTGCAAGCCTATAGAGCAAATCAAGGGCCAAGGCCACTTCTTGAAGAATTCATACCACTCAAAAATTCTACTTCTGAAGCATTGGATAAGTCCTCAAACTTATCTGATAAGGCAAATTGGATGACTACAGCACAACTATGGAGCCAAGAAAGTAATATTGAAACCAAACCACAAACCACATTAACTACTAATTCTCCTAAAGAAACCAGTATAGGGTTCAATGTTAGTCCTAAGCTAGGGTTAGACACTAAACAAAGAAATGGAGGAGCTTTTCTTCCATTTTCAAAAGAAAGAAACTTATGTCCAAGCCCAACCTTAGCTCTTGCTTCTACTGATAAAGAAATGGAAGATAAAAAATGTTTGGAATCTGAAAATGGGTTTTCTTGTTCAAAGATAGAGAATTCCAGTAAGATTGGTAATAATAATAGTGGGATTGTGATTGAACAAGGAAAAGGAACTTGTAATTCGCCATCTGATGGACAAGCAACAAATGCTGGAAACGGTAATTGTACAAATAATAACAATAATAATGGCAGTAGCAGTACCGGTCAAACTCATAGAAAGGCAAGAAGGTGTTGGTCACCTGACTTGCACAGAAGATTCGTTAATGCTCTGCAAATGCTTGGCGGTTCTCAAGGTATAAAATCAATACAAAAAAAAAAAAAAAAAAAACCCTAATTTAATTAATTGGGTAATTCATACTTTCTTGTTTTTATTGTTTTGATTGATTTCTTTTCGTTTTCCTTTTGTTCGTGAAACAAACAGTAGCCACACCAAAACAAATAAGAGAGCTTATGAAGGTTGACGGTTTGACCAATGATGAAGTTAAAAGCCATTTACAGGTATTTTTCTTCTTCTGATCTTCTTCTTCTCTAATTCTCTTTCTACTGTTTTTAGGAGAGCAGGCATGCATGAAAGTGGCTTTGTGTTTGTACAATTTTTTTTCTTTTGACCTGACAATACAGAAGAGACTGTACAGTCTGCACTGCACATTGCATATACTTTGAATATTATTTTTATTTTATTATATCAAATTATTGTTCAGTACAGATCTGTAATGATGATATATTTATTGTTTTGTTGGGGCACAGAAATATAGACTGCATACAAGAAGACCTAGTCCAAGCCCACAAGCACCTGGAGCACAAGCACCACATGTCGTCTTTCTAGGCGGCATTTGGGTCCCACCGGAGTATGCCACCGCCGCAGCTGCAGCTCATACTGGGGCCCCTACCCTCTATGGTGCCCACCCAGCTTCCCATGCACCACCACCTCACTTTTGTGCTGCACCACCTGTACCTCAAGACTTTTACACTGCAGCGGCAGCGGCTCCATCGCCGCCGCCGCCACCTCACCATCAGCCTCACCACCATACACTCCACCGCCAGCTTCACATGTATAAAGCTGCACAACAAACTCATAGCTCCCCGGAGTCTGATGTAAGAGGCAATGGTGAACGGTCTGAAAGTATTGAAGATGGCAAGTCGGAGAGTAGTAGCTGGAAGGCGGAGAGCGGCGATAATGCTGGAGAGAGAAAAGGGTTGGCTGCGTTGAGGGAAGATGGTGAAGAAAGCAATGGAAGTGAGATAACCCTCAAGTTTTAGCAGTCTGAGAGTATTAGAGTTAGGGTTAGGGTTAGGGTTTAGGTTAATCCGGAAAGTTTCTAACTTTGGTATTGTCTTACCGTTATGTAGTAGTATTAATTTTATTCTATATTTTTATGTCAAATATCCAGAGAGAGAAAGAGAGGGTAAAAAGGGTATAACGAGAAAGTGGGTGTTTGTTTTGCATTCGTTATGTACTTGATGCCCTAAATGAAAATGACTGAACATTTGATTATTTACTTCTTGGCTTCTTGTGCTATTTCAGTCTTTTGCATTAATGGACAAATTTGCCCTTCATTTACATAGATAATGACTGTGAGTGGGTACTTCTAGGGATCAACCAGGACAAGTCACGGCTGCTTTACTCCATTTATTAAGGAAGCTAAAGATGGATTTAGAAAAGAAGAGATACCGAAAGTGGCTGTCCGATTTCCTTTCCAGCCTGATAGCTCACGAGCTTTCTTAAAAACATAATACCTGCCTTTTTTTTTTTTTTTTTTTTTTTAGCTCACGAGCTTTCTTAAAAAACATAATACCTGCCTTTTTTTTTTTTTTTTTTTTTTTTTATCTTTCTATAGTTTTAAGTTAAACAATTGTCTTAAATTTCAGCCCTGAAAAATCATTATTCGCATTCACACCATGTGTTCACTTTGCTAAAAGTTTGATCATTCAAAGATGAACATTACCCATTCAAGGAAAAAAATACACAATGTGAAACATGTGAATCCGAAGCAAGGATTATCCTACATTGGACGAACAATTTAATCCACAATAATTTAATTTTTTTTTTTTTTTTTTTTTATCTTTCTATAGTTTAAGTTAAACAATTGTCTTAAATTTCAGCCCTGAAAAATCATTTTCGCATTCACACCATGTGTTCACTTTGGCTAAAGTTTGATCATTCAAAGATGAACATTACCCATTCAAGGAAAAAAAATACACAATGTGAAACATGGAATCCGAAGCAAGATATCCTACATTGGACGAACCATTTATCCACATAATTTAACATTGATATCTACAAAAGCAAAATCACATCAGAAGTATTGTGCAGTGCAAAAATACCAACATTGTTACCAAGTATACTGATATTCATCCACAAGTAGATCTGTGGGCTAAACTTCTGCTTCAAGATCAAGCCTTTCCATTTATTAGGACTCCATTCTTAAATCAACATCATCAACCAAATCATTTTGTATCATCGCTGAATCGACAAGAGACTGCAAAAATAAAGAAAAGAAAAAATTTTTGATTTAGTTAGTATTTTGTTGCCCCCATGACTAGCACCTTCATGATCATACAAGTGTCATTTTAATCTCATTTAAGCACTACAGAGACTCTGCCATAACCTGCAAAAATGGGCCATCAGAGATTGGTACCTAACAAATGGCAGAACTAGGAGATGTGCTTCACCTTAAAGTGATAGCATACTGCACCAGATTTTGTCCATTTGAAAAAACGCAGTACATGCTAAATTCTCTTTCATATTTCAACTTGAAATATACAAGTCCTGCTTTCGTGATAATTATGTATGTAGCTCAAAGTCTTTCCCTAGGTAGACATTCAAGGGAATCAAAGTGGTTTCACTGTTTAGCTTTCTTATCCTTTATTAACGAATCTTGTAACTTAAATTAACATGTGCGAGAGGTGGATGTCACGGGCTGATATCAACCTTCCTCAAACAATAATAAAAATAATTATGAAATGAAGCACAAAATCGCAATATTGATTTCCAATCCTCTCTAACAGACGCAGCTGAGGAGGTCATCACATGAAACACAGCATATGTATATGCTACTAAAGAAAATTATGAATATGCACTTCAACTTGCAGGAATATGCTGCTAAGCCTACAAATGCTGCAAGCAGTAGGAGAACAAAGCATCTTATCACCTTCTTTATACCACAAGTGAAACGCATAATACTTGTGGATATATGTTTATCAACAACCTTATATGCATACTCACACACATACACACACCCCATGAAACTCTCTTATCACCCAAATGTAGCACACGTACTAACACATAGCAAGAAATGAAATCTAAACAAGCTGCCTTTTTAAGATATGAAGAAAAAAATCAATATATACATAGTCACTGCAATGGAGCAGTGAATAAAATGAAAAGGAACCTATTATATAAGAAAGCAAGCCTTATTCAGAAACAAATGAAATAATAATATGCAAGGGACTACCAAATTGGATAGCATGATGACAGAATTCACCACAGTACAAAAATGAAACAAGCGTTGTACGTTTTTTAATGCGAGTGACACAAATTAGAAACGATAAGTGGGACATTTGCAATAAACATTGCATATTTCAATCAAAGCCACAGACATCCAATTAAAGCCATATTTATAACACAATATAAGAACCTGAACTATGTTACACACATTGCCTTATGTACGTCATGACTATAGGGGCTAACCTGAAGTTCCCCCTCACAACTCTTAAGCCTTTCTGAGTATTCTTTCACTTGCAGAAAACATTTATGCAGCTGCAGTTTACACCCAACATGCTATTAGTAAACCAAAGCAACAACAAGGTTTAATTAATTTGCGGTGTCTGAACTTCTAATTTTTTCTATTTGTGTCTGAATAGAAACAATTTGCAATTAAATGTGAACTATTGAAAAAGGTGCAATCAAGTGCATTTGGCCAGATTATTCCGCCAGAATCAATAAATGATATCAAACATAAACATCCATTTAATTAATCTCCCTTTTTTAGTTTTTATTGTCTTATATCTATTCTCTAAAAAAAAGGTTCAAAATTCCTTCTAGTTTTCTATCAATTTCAAAATAATATTAAGTAATCTAGAAGAATAAATAAAGTAAAGAATGGAGTAAAATAGTTCATTTTGATTTTCAAGTGAGAAATTCTGGATAAATGCATTTAATCATGCAAAATCATTGATTCAAACACTTGATGCAAATGTTTTCACTTCAGACACCAAAATAGAAAAAAGTAAAAAGTTCAAACACCAAATTCACAATCATCTCCAACAGCAAAAATAAGGTTTCAGTAGCCAAATCCATGACTTCACCTTGGTCAATTGCATCTTATGCTGTGAAGAGCGTTTCTTTGTTGTGATCAATGCATCCTCCAGTTTCTGCATTCACCGTCAAATTCTAAGTGAGCAATGAAGAGCAAGCTTCATTCATAAAATTGGAAAGTTTTGTAGCAGCAACAACTGCAGAATAGAAGCATGAAACTGAGAAAGACTCAGTTGTAGCTACAAAAGTATGTACCTGAGTTCTTTTTCGCAAAGTTGAAACAAGTTGTTGTTTATCTTCTAACCTCCCTTCTATCTCAGATATCTGATTAGGCACTAAAATTTAGCATTTTTGTTTCTTAAACTTTTCATAAAAAAGTGCCATAGAGTGCAGAGATAGCACAGATAGATTATTATGATGAAACCCTAAGAAAAGTCACAAAATCAACATCCAGTATTCCCCCTCTGTAAGCTGATATCATGACCACAAAAATTTATAATACAGGCAGGTCATATCTGTGAGTGACTGTGCATCTAAATTTTCTGCAGCATGAAAGAGGATGCATGCTTTCATCCTTAAAGGAAGTGCTAAGACAACAAAAGGATGAGAAAATTCTTTTATTGCAGACCTCCTTTTTAAGTTCATCACGCCTCTGAATTGATCTCTCCAATCTTTCTTTCACCTAAGAAAAAGAACAAAACAAGTAACGACTAAAGTACCTCAAAATCAACACTATATAGGCATATGCAAGCATTCTTCAAACAATTAAACAAAGTAAAAACTTACCCTATCATTGTAACCACCACTTGAATCTGAAGACGTTTCCCTCCTATGTTGATCATTGTATCTAGAACTGTCAAAGAAAAAAGTATGAAAAATTAAATCTCAACCCCAATGTGTAGACATAAAAAACTTCCTTTAGTTAATTCTAACCCATTGAGACAACACAATCAAAGATAGCACACATACCTTATACAGCATGACATAAAAGCTACAAATATTCAAATATCATGAATAACAATATAATATATAAATCAGAAGCAAGAATCTATCATGGCTCAACTATTGATTCCAACAGAAGTATTAATTAACACTGAGCACAAATCCCATGAGTTCTCTACAATTTCAGAATAGACATTTGTGCTTGAAAATCACATGTGACATTTCATAATGACATGTTTTCATAGATGAACCAAATTTCAAATCATAAGCCAACCAAAGCCATCCACCAATACTGCAGTCCTGCCTCTACAACAGAACAAATCCAGGTAGGTGCTTGGAAACAGAACAATCTGCTTCCCAACAAAACTTCCCCAAAAAGGCTGTTAGTGCCAATTAATAGGTAATTAGAAGTGCACTAGAAGGGAAATGGCAGTTAAATTAAGAGAATAAAGTCAATTAGGTTTCAAGAAACAGCACATGAATAAAATCTCACATTTGCATCACTCTGAAACTTTTATTCCTGCGCCCCACCCCACACCCCAATTGCATGGAGCTAGTAATAAACATATTACAAGGTATCTCAATCTCATAAGTAGCAATCAAGTTTGATGAGCATGCAATCATAATTGTAGCACCAAATTCAACTATTTTCCTGTTCTTCTTTATTGCTTCTTGGTTATGTGGCAGTTTCCATGACAGAATATATGCAAGCAACTTACACAATAATATATGAATCCTGAAATGTGTTCTGCTCCAAAACACCAACGAACATATGCTTGATAAATCTTTCACATAAAAGCAACATATAACTGAGATTCTACAAGTTTCAATGAGAAAAAGAATGAGAATTTCTAAAATCCATTAGAAAGGGGGACTGTCTTACTCAATCTGTTTCCTCAAATGGTGATCTTTCTCCTTATCAGCAAGTTTATCACCACCATTGGCTGCATCCATTTCCCTATCTCGATCTGAATGTAAATCATGGCCTCTTTCCCAATTCCAAATATTGTTCTTTCCGTCTTCTTGTTCATTGCCAACTAGATCCCTGTCTCGGCTTTGATCTCCATCCACAAAACCATCCCTTGCTTGAACATGATCATGTGCAAGTTCATATCTTCTATCCTCATCTTCATCATGATCCCAAGATCGGGCTCGCTCTCTAGACTTAGCACTGTACCTTTCCCGATATCTTTCCCGATCACGATCATAATCCCTTTCACGATCTCTACCCCTATCCCAGTCCACACCACCCCTGTCCATATTACGTCGAAATCGCTCTCGTGTAAAAGTTGATCTTCCCCCTCTGCTTGTCACTCCATTTACTTTCACAGCTCGCCCGTCAATAGTCTATTTACAAGCTTCACAATGTCAAAAATCTCAAATTTTAAACTAACAATATAAAACCCAAATGAATGATCAATATACCATATGAATCAGAACTTAGAAATTAGAAAGGATAAAAGGTACATACCTTGCCATTCATATCATTGATTGCATCAATTACTGATCTTGGATTTCTAAAAGTAACAAAGCAATAGCATTTCCCCCTAGTTCCATGATCATTAATAATCTGCAAGTCAACAGGCATGGACACACTTGGTCAACTTTAAAAGTCTATTCCCATTTTAATGTAATGAAGTTATACAAGTTAACGAGTTAATGACTAAATTAAAAAACCCCACGAAACAGAAGTAAAGATTGACATTATGCTCTTGCAAGTGAAAGCACAATGCCTCTCCTCTAAGTTCCAATGTACAATACACAAACTTGAAGCTTTAAATTTGTTTATTTATTTATTCATTTTTAAGATTGAAACTGGTCCGAACAAATCATCGATTATCTGTAATCCAACATTTCTCGGTAACAAATTGAAATTTCTTTTAGAAGTCACGCATTAATATTCACAAATAAGTAGATGATTTAACAAAGTAGAGAATAGAAATTATAGAAGCAGTTACATAAAAAAACCCTAAAATTTATACGAACCCTAAAAGTATATCAAAAAATTGTTAAAGAAAGCTTATCATAATTTTTTGGTTGAAAGAATAATACCTTAACGGAGACAATAGAACCGTAGGGATCGAAGACTCTGCGAATGGTGTCTTCGGTGGCATTATAAGGGAGGCCTCCGACGTATATAGAGTTCTCCTCGTCTACCGTCATTTTCTCTGAAATATAAACCTAACGGGCTTTCAGAAATTGCACATCCTCTGCTACCCTTTGGAGCTCTGCAATTTCTTTCTCCTATCTTAAGACTGAGACAGCAGAAGCACGTGCACATTGCACAAGCGCTCCGGTCCAAAAATGTGTCCAGTTGTCAATTTTACTTTCACTGAACCGGTTTCGATACTAGGTTGTTTACTAGGCCAATGTAGTTGGGCTTTATGGGTTTTCCAGTCCACGGTTCGGTCATCTGTTATTCAAAGCAGGTCAACGTCAACGAACACATTTAAACAAAGGCGGATATTATATTTTTCATTTTTCATTTTTCTTCTAATCAAACATTAGGGTTTAAATTTAGGAGTGTAATTTTATATTTTTTAATTAATTTAAATAGTTAATTTTAAAAAAATTATTGTGATTTATATTTTTATTGCTTTAATTTAAATAATTTATTTATGTATTTTGATTAAATGATGAAAAGTAAAATTTTACGCTCCATTGATAATTCAATTGATATAATTTTTTCTTTAGAATTTTCATATATTCAATTGAAATGTTTATTAATTTTTGTAATTAAATGAAGTGTGTGAAGATTTATTAGATTTTTAATCATAAATAATTAAATACTCTGAAAAATATCACTACCTAAACATATGTGATAGACACCTAAAAATTATTCACATCTTATATTAGGCTGCATTTGCAGTTGTACCGCTATATACACGCATGACATTTTAGATATTTAAACTCGTCGGAGTGAGTCATGCCAAGTCCAATTTGAACCAAATATATTTTTTGTTAAAAAAAGAAAAAAGAAAACAGTTTGCCGTTGATTTTAAGGGGCAAACCATTTTCATTATAGTTCAGCTCTTTGAAAATATTTGCATTGCGGGCTACATACATATCTAAATTTCACATTTTTCGCTTATAACACACTTCCTAATCGTATTTAATTATAACGTAAGTAAAATAATACTACTTTTGTTTTATAATAATTGTCATATTTGAGAAAATAGTTTGTTTCAAAATACTTATTACATTTGTGGTTTCAATGAGTAATAAATATTTTTTTTTCACGTTTACCCTTTTTATATAACCAATAATTATTACTTTATTTTAATAGTATTTTTAGAATTAGTATTAAATTAAGAGTAATATAGTCAATTTACTCAATAATTTATTGTAACTTAGACAAATTTAATAATTTTATTAAAAAACGTGAAATTTCAAATGTGATAAGTATTATGGAATAGAGGTAATACTACATTAGTAACAGTAAAATTGAGCTCAAATCTGAATCCAATACTGCTGGATGCATTCGATAAAACCACAAACATTTCATTTGATATTTATGTATTATCCAACCCATATTTCACAAACATCTTATGGGAGAAGAACAAAATTTTATGGATCAATTACAAAATGCATTTACGTTTTTTTTTTTTTTTTTATAGAGGATTCTGGAAAATTCTATGCATTGTTGTTCACAATCTCTTAATTATTTATTGGTAAAAAAAAATATTAAAATTTATGAATTTAATAGGTAAACTAAAATTCCCATCATCATTACATTATTGCTTATGAACAAAAATTAACATTACAAGGCCCATGTACAAAAATGAAAAGCCCAGACCATTAAACTTGCATTATCTTTTGGTGTGGGCTATAAACATATATATAGAAAGCCTCTGAATTTACTTTTGGCTATTTAGCAATTAAAAGTTGTATTTTCAATAATATGTTATTGATGACTAATTTAACATCCATCAGAACGATTTAATTGTCGTAATTACCATGTCAAACTATATAATTTTAATTATTATTAAGTCCTTAAAGATTTATTTTGTTTACAATGACCTCTCGAATTATTATTATCAATGATACCAATGACTGGTTCAACACCTTCTTTTAACGAGTTAATCTTTATTAAGTTTTTGTTACATTAAATTATAAAATTATTGATAATTACTTAGATTTTTTCACTGTAGAATTTGAAAATAATGGGTCAATTCGTTGAAAATAAATCTTTGTTGAGTCATTTCTAAGAGGCGTGAAATAATAATTCAAAAGTTCACTAAATTGACAAAAACTCCTATAGTTAAGCTAACTCGAACTTCAAAGGCCTCTCACTTTTTACACTAGCGAGA